CACAGCTATGGGCTTTTACAGCTGCACCGTACAATGCTCATTAATATTTATTTTTGTTTTCTCTATTTCATTCCCAGTTTTTCTTTTAATTTTTAAATTTATTTAAATTTAAAATTAAACCTTTTTATTTTCACCACAATTTTATTTATTTTATTTTATCACTGTTCACACGGTTTTATCTACTCGCTTTTGATTTTATTTCGTTGACGTAATGGCACCAGTCCTATATCAATGCACGGTTTGTTTAAATCATTATAAAATAAAACCGAACGGTAAACTATATCGACATGGAGACAAAGTGAAGGGCCAGGAATGCCCTGGTTCGTTCAAGGCAGCCGACCAGCCTCCGGCTGGTTCATCTGCTTCCGTGCGACCGCCGCTTACCGCTGCACCTGTCATCAACCCTCATGTTACTACACGCGGTTCTTCGGCGTCGGTCTCGGAGAGTCCCTCCCAAGTGGATTTTTTTCATGTTTTTGACAGGCTGACGGTCGTTTTGAGGACTGCCCATCTGTATGATCACGTTCCCAAACCGTGCAGAGACAAGGTATCTAAAGCATTGTCGGCTTTATTGACGGCCGTTTGCGATGATCCCTGCGACGCGGCCCATTGGTGCAGGCTCCAATGTTTTTTGGCATTTGTTTTGTTCAAGCCAACCAGGGGCGGTCGCAGGACTAATCAAGCCAATTACGTTGTTAAACGGTTGGCCGAATTCAGTTCGACCGAGGTCGAGTTTATTGTGGCAAGTTCAACACTGACCACAACACCAAACCGCGTAAGCACAATCCAAACAGTTGGATTAGTGCAGTAACCACTCGGATTGAACAGGGCAGTCTCTCGGCGGCCGTCAGACTTGTTCGCCCGCAGGCCTGGCGGAGAGCTCGCCTGAGACACTCGCTAAACTCAAAGCTATTCATCCCAGTGCTCCATTGACCAGGCGAGCTTTCCCCGCGCAGGAGCCGTCCAATGGTCGCGTTTCACCAGCCCAGGTGTTGACGGCTTTAAAGTCGTTTAATAATGGTTTATCGGGAGGCCTTGATGGCTTGAGGCCTCAGCACATAAAGGATTTACTTTCCGGTCCAACGCCCACCGATGAATTGTTAAATAACCTCACCCGGTTTGTAAATTTGTTGTTATCTGGGGTCTGCCCTCCCGCGGTTAGCCGTTTTTTTTTTGGGGCCGTCTGGTGGCTTTAAACAAAAAAGATGGAGGGATCAGACCCATCGCGGTGGGGAATTTCTGGAGGAGGCTGGCCAGTAAGTGCGCTCTGGCGCTAGTGTTGGAACAGGTCAAAGCCAAACTCTATCCTATCCAATTGGGCGTCGGCGTGAAAGGTGGTGCTGAGGCGGCCGTCCACGCCGTACGTGAACTGATTTCAGCACTTCCAAAACATTGGGGATTCTTGAAGATTGATTTCAAGAACGCTTTCAACACCCTGAGAAGAGACTCAATGTTAGAGGCAGTTAAGCAACACTGTCCTCAAATTTATAATTTTTGTCATTCCGCATATGGCTGAGTCTCTTCTCTCGGTTACGACGCCTGGGTGGTTGAATCGTGCGAGGGCGTACAGCAAGGCAACCCTTTGGGACCGATGCTTTTTGCTCTAACCCTTCACCCGCTGTTGACGAAGTCATCCTCGGCGTTTGTTTGTGGCTACCTGGACGATGTCAGCTTGGCCGCAGAGGGCAACAACATAGCGGACGACTTCCTGTCGCTGAGGTTTGGCGCTTCCATCATTGGTCTTGAATTAAACACAAACAAGTGTGAACTACTCGTAAATGACACGTTTCAAATGCACACGTGCTGGCTAATGTCCCCACAGTGCCTCATTCATCATTAAATTTTTTAGGCACTCCAATGATGGCCGGCGATCATCAGGACAGGTTTTTTAATAAAAAACTTTTTGAGCTAAGATTTGCCCTCGAACGTGTCTCTCTTCTCCCGGTCCACGACGCGCTGACAATCATCCGCGGCGCCCTCAGTTTGCCGAAATTGATGTATTTTTTGCGCACATCCAACTTTGTTAATGCGGCCACTTTGGGCGAATTTGAGGGTGCTCTGCGGGTGGCCCTCTCAGCAATATGTAACGTCGATATTACCGACAAGGGTTGGTCTCAGGCTCAGCTGCCGGTACGATTTGGGGGACTGGGGTTACTAAGCGTGGTTCAGCTTGCACCAATTGTTTATAAATCTTCCGCATCTGCCACGCTTGACCTACAGTCTTCGGCAATTTAGTAGCCTGCACTGTACTCCACCGACTCCAATCCAACCAACAGACCTTTCCCAGGGCAACATTTTGGAGGAAGCATATAAACGCACATTCAAAGAGTTGCTTTCCTCAAGCCTTGACTCGGCGACCTCAGCTCGCTTGCTGGCAGTTTCCAGCGAGGCGAGTTGCGGCTGGCTGAGATCTTTGCCCAATACGTCGGTGGGTATCAGATTGGACGACGAAACGGTCAGGACAGCCATTGGCTTCCGTCTGGGGTTGGCCGTTCAGAGTCGATATACATGCAGGTGCGGCGCGGAGGCGGATGAACTTGGCCATCATGGTCTTGTTTGTCGTTTGGGCGGAGGTCGCCAGCAGCGACATTCAGCCATAAACGATTTTGTGTGCCGACTTTTCTCCAAGGCCTCAATTCCGGTTTTAAAGGAACCGTCGGGCATTGCGGCGCACGACGGTAAGCGCCCTGACGGGTGTACCTTGATCCCTTGGAGAGCCGGCAGGTGCTTGGCGTGGGACGTTACCGTTCCGGGCACCTTTGCTGAGCGCTACGTGCAGCTTACTAGCAAAGAAAGCGGTTTGGCTGCAACCAGGGCATCTGACGAGAAGATCAAAAAGTACGACGGAGCTCTCCCATCGATGGAGTTTTTACCGATTTGTATCGAGGTCCTCGGCCCCATGGACCGTAACACCTCCGGGTTTTTCAATCGGATTTGTAAAAATATCAGTATTAGGTCAGGCGATAGTAGGGAATATTTTTTTGCTATGAATAATATCTCGTGCATTCTGCAGCGGTTTTTGCGCGTCTGTGTGTTAGAAAATGTGGAGTTGAATGCCGACGGGGTTGAGTGACGTTATAGCAAATAAAATCAAATTTAGTCAGACGCTTGGCTTTTGGTGTCATTCGTCAATGATTTGGTTTTAACATACATACATACATACATACATACATACATACATACATACATACATACATACATACATACATACATACATACATACATACATACATACATACACACACACACACATACATACATACATACATACAATAAGTTAAGTATAGAATTTTTTTTTTATACAAAACTTGAAGAAAATTTTTATTTAACCATTTAAACAAGCTTGGGTAAACATTTGACTTGTTTAAATCAAAAATCTCTCCTTCTTAACAATATCGCAGACCTCTTTAATGATATGTTTGTATACAATTTTCGTCAGCACACATGGAAAGTGTTCTATTTGGCAAGAAGAAAATTATTCAGTCAACTCGGTGGCTACATTGATTACATTTCATTCTTGTTTGGCCAATGTGTGTATGTATGGGTATTCGTTTGTGTGTGTGTGTATGTGTATATATGTGAGAATGTTTGCGTGTGTGTATGTGTGTGTATGTGTTTGTGTGTATGTTTGTGTGTGTGTTTGTGTGTATATTTGTGTGTATGTGTTTGTATGTGTGTGTGTGCTTGTGTGGTTGCGTTTTTATGTATGCGTAAACAATTGTAAACGTCTGTGTATGTTTGTGTATATATGGTTTCAAATATTTGTGCATCAGTGTCAATGTCTATACCTATAAATAAGTTGGATTTTTTACTGGAAATAACTTTTCAACATATTTTTTTCATATGAGAGTGTATTTGATAAATTAAAAAGTTGACAAATATCTGTTGTTGATAATATCTGCTTCTATTACTACTACTATTACTTCTACTACTACTACTATTGCTACTACAACTACTACAATAAAACTATTGATCTTACTACTACTACTTCTACTACTGCTACTACTACTACTACAACTACAATAAAAACTTCTAATCTTACTACTACTGCTACCACTACCACTACTACTGCTACCTTAACAGACCGCAATCTCTGCAACCGACTGAAAAACTTACATTTGTTCAGTTATGTATTTTACGTTGAAAGCGGAGAAGAAAAATGAGCGGAAAGATAAATTTCTATTCCCCGTTTTGTTGTTTCTATCATTTGTGGCCATCCAGTGAATAATGTAAATAATTAAATATGCAACAACAACAAATGCAACAACTACAACAATAACAACATTATCAATAACATCAACAACAAATGCCACAACTACAACAATAACAACATCACCACCACCACCAACAACAAATGCAACAATTACACCAATAACAACACCACTAATATTAACAACAACAAAAGCAACAGCTACAACAATAACAACATCATCATCAACAACAACAACATCAACATACATATAAGGATGAAATTGCATCAACAACAAAAGATTTAAAAACAGTTTCGTCAAAGGTAAGAGAACGAATGTTAAACGAAAACATAAAAATACGAATGTTGCAAAATCCAAACACAACAATCGACAAATCAGGATGGCGAAACAATACAACAACAACAACAACAACATCATCATCAACAACAACAACAACGACAACAACAACAACAACAATGGCATGAACAAAAACAACACCGACAACATACAAAAAACAACAACACCATTACAACAACATGAAACATCACCAAAAAAAATCAGATTTTAAGCAAAACAATACAACACAATACAACAACATTCCAGCAGTAACACCAACATTACAACAACAACACAAACAGACTAACAAACAACAACAACAACAACAACAAAACAACGGTTGATTGATTTTTGTTGGAATTTAAAATTCAGCATATTTCTCTCTTTCGATTTTTTTGTTTGTTTTGCCGAACGTGCAAGAAATACATGCTTCTGCTTAATGCAACAAGTTGTCGGCGCTGTGGCAGTTGTAGTAATAGTACCACTGCTACTACTGCTACTACTACTGCTGCTGCTACTACAACTACAACTACTATTATTTATACTACTACTACTACTACTACTACTACTACTACTACTACTACTACTACTACTACTACAACTACTATTACTAATACTACTAATACTATTACTACTGCTACTACTACTACTATTACTACTAATAATAATACCATTACTACTATAACTACTACTACTACTACTACTACTACTACTACTACTACTACTATGATTTCGCAAACCAGTGTCAAATGAATAAAGGAACGCAAAAAAAAATTTAATTGAAAGAATGAATAAATAAATGAATGATTGAAGAAATGATTGAATGATTCATTGATAGATTGAATGATTAGATGTTCAGTGCGATGAACATCTCAGTGAGTGGATGAATGTGGCATGCCAGATGAATTGAATGACGGAGCGGAGTTGTCTTTCCTACGTTCCATTATATAACTCAAAAAATCAATAATAACATTTAAAAAAAATTTGAATAACAATCACAAACATGATAAACATAAACTGGTATTAAATGTTTATATCACCAAATTAAATAAAATTAATAAAATTTTCAGTTACAAATTATAGAAAATGTTTGGAATGGGCCAAAAACTGACCAAAAAAAGTTTGTGACAAAATAAAAACATGGTTGCATGCATTATTCAGGATGTATCAACAATATCACCTTAGTTAGATTGAAAAACATTCCGTAATTTGTATCATGTTTCATGTATCTTGCATCTTGTGTTATGTATCATGCACTTTGTATTTTTATTTTATTTCTTGTATAACGTAATTTTATCTTGTATTATATACCATGTGTCTTGTGTATATACTATGCCCACACACATAAACACACGCACACACACACACAACACACACACACGCGTACATACGTAAACCCATACATGCGAACATACATGCATGAATGAAACATGTGTACCCTAGTACAAACACCCAATAAAACATAGATAAAACAGAGATAAACAAAGATATAAAAATAAAATAGTGAGAAAAAAAATGGGGCGAAAAAAAATTTCATTTGAAAGGAGAGAGTAGGCAGTAGTATGTTTACAACATTTAGAGCGACACAACTGCAATATGAGGTAGGTGCTGGTCTGTGAAAGGAACGCATCGTCACACAAGACGTCAGCTGACATGTTGAAAAGTTTTATCGAACTTAAACAGGTGTGAACAATTTTTAAAAATACAGAAACATTTTTCAAATATAGGTTATTATAAATGTAAAAACGAACAAAGTAAACATGAACAGTCAAACGTGCAATTCTACAAACATCCTACAATATTAAAAAGATAGACAAAATTCTATTCACATGCATTCGAATAACAAAATGTAACAGAAAACAAACGACTGTCAGTCACGTCAAACGATCGATCAAAAATAAAAAAAAACAATCAAATAAAAAAATTGACAGAAATTTAAAGTAAATTTAGACAAACGTTTAAGAAGCAAACAAATGTAAAAAAAACAAAACAATATAAACAAATAAATGATTGAAAAAAACAAACAGTTAAACAGAGGCAAGCAGCCAACAGACAAACAGACTGACTGACAGGCACACAAATAGATAGACTAACAGACAGACAGACAATGAAACAGACAAATGAGCAAACGAACAACAAACAAACTAATAAACACACTCTATAAACAAGCAAGCAGACAAACAAATAATCAAATAAGTAAACAAACAAACAGACAGACAGACAGACAAACAAACAAACAAACGAACGAACGAACGAACGATCGAACGAACGAACGAACAAACAAACAAACAAACCAGGCTCTTTAGCCATCTATGAAAGTAAGCACTTGGTTGGGTTGCATCGTTGAATGTTGTGGTAATTGTTGTAGATACTGATTTAAAGTTTGCCTTGCATTAACGCACTGCTGACCAAACGAAGAATCGCTACGTTTGTCTTCATTTTCTCATCAACAGCAATAACATTAACAACGACAATGACAACAAACAACATAAACCACAAAGACATCAAATACAACGAGACAAAAATTTAAAAACTTTTAAAAATTTTTCTTTGCGTTTGTAACAGTGGTGATAACGCAAACAAATATTATCAAAAGACAACAAACACACTATCAAAGTTGTAACATAACAAAAAGTGAGATAACACCATGTAGTAACTACCAAATCAATGTGAGACAAACCGAAACATTAACACCACGACAATATAACAGACGCATTAACGATGATAAAACATCATCAAATAACATCAATTACAGCAATAACAATACAAAAACATGTAAAGACACTAATAGCAACAGCAAAATGAACAACAAAATGATTTTAAAACATATTCTAAACAAACACAACTTTTTCAAAGATTTTTGTATAACTTACTTTATGTTTCACTTGTTTTCTTTTAATTTCTTTTTGTACATTTATATATTTAAATAATATTTAAAATGTTATAATGTTGATATTTCAGTTAGACTTAAAAGTCACATTTCATACGTAATTACACGCATTCAAGACAATGTTCTTAACGTTTAACAGTTATAAAGTTTTTATAAAAAAATTTGAGAGAACAACAAGTTTTTGAAAATTATACCAACAAAGATTGTCACAACATTTACAAAAAATATATAAACATCAACAACAGATGACATCATCAGCAACAACAAATGATATCAACAAACTACTTCCAAAGTACTTAGCAACGGTAACAATGACACTGAAAACTACATCAACAAAACCAACAACATCAACAAAACAACAACAACAAAAGCAGCAGCAACAACAACAACAAAACCAACAACATTTTACAAAACAACAACGAAAACAAGTTCCAACAACGGACTTAAATAACGGGATCCACAATAGGATAGTGACAACGACGTCATATACATAGATCATCAATAACACAAACGACCGCAATTGTAGCATCATTAACATAAACTACTGCAACAACACAAGCAATATCAATAGTATCGATAACAACAACAACAACAACAAGTAGAAAACTGCAACAACAGTAATTATCAACAGTACAACAGCATAACCAACAACAACAACAATAACAACAACAACGACAACAATAACAACAACAACAACGACAACAATAACAACAACAAATGTAGCTAAGGACAAATTCTCATCATCAAACAACAAATTACCCAATAGG